CAACCATTTCTTTATAATATAATACGATTTTAAATAAAAGTACTCTCCTCCCAAGAAAAACACGACTTTCACTAGGACTGTACATGAGGGTTTGATTATATCTTTATTGATATAATTTTTAAATATAGTACTGAGAAACTGTAGTTATTTAACAAAACTATTATTTTTTAATGAAGGGTAGCACTTTAATTTATAAACTTATTGCAGTTGATATCAGTGTAATTTAAGAAAATTTTGAGGCGTGTAAACTAAATCATTTTGATGCATTGAGTTGCGTATGACGAAAGAGCACAATCCAAACTATTGTTACGTCTCCGTTTGTTAATTTATTTTCCGTAACTTCGTTCCGACGAAACTTAAGCTACACAAGTCCTTTCTTAATAAAACTGATTTATTCTTTCCGAATATAACTTTACCGATACACTCAACTTCAACAATCGCGTTAAAACAAACGCTAATCAACGAACGTCAACAGTAATTCCGACTGCAGTTCAGTTACTCACAATCCACACACACACACATTACATTCCCCTCTTTTATATCCCAGCCTACCCTATATCTAGTAAGAACTAGAACATTCCCCAAAGTACATGATAGTTCTAGAAATGTTGCGTCACAGTAGTCATGTGACTCGATGACGCAACAACAGGAATAAAGGGCGTCTAGCAAGTACTGGATTATTCATGATGTTCCCTGATCCTTCTAGATAGTCATTACGTGTTACCAGCGTCACGTGACTTCCGCTGTCGTAAAAATATCCATTACTTTATTACAACACATCGAATTTTGGTGACACCCGAGTGGCTCAATGATAAGCTTGAGAACTTATAGCGCTAAAATTCAGAGTTCAATATCTACGATTAGCACAGCTCAAATAACCCAAAGTGCAGCTTTACGCTTAATAGTAAATAAATAAACATTGAATTATAGTAGTTGTGTAAGCTGAGGGTTCCTGGTTCGGTTCTCAATCAGTACAGGTGTCTCAACGACCTGATGCACATCTGGTAGTCGTATCTCTCCGGTTGGGTAAAACTGTGACAGTTGTTATGGGAAGAGGTTTACAGACAGCTTGTATCTTGTTAGTTCAGTTGGTTAGGGGATATAGGTTTACAGACCGTTTGTATATTGTTAGTTTAGTTGGTAAGGGAAGAGGTTTACAGACAGTTTGTATATTGTTAGTTCAGTTGGTAAGGGAAGAGGTTTACAGACAGCTTGTATCTTGTTAGTTCAGTTGATAAGGGAAAAAGTTTATAGACAGTTTGTACCTTGTTAATTCAGTTGATAAGGAAAGAGGTTTACAGCCAGCTTGTATCTTGTTAGGTCAGTTGGTAAGGGAAGAGCTTTACAGACAGCTTGTATCTTGTTAGTTCAATTGGTAAGGGAAGAAGTTTACAGACAGCTTGTATCTTGTTAGTTTAGTTGGTCTCAGCTTCTGAACAAAAATGCAATCTGAGGATTCCGGGAACAGTTTTCAGTGAAGGCCTCTTGATTTATTAAACAGGCCATGTTTAAAACTTATTCATTATTACAGGATTAAAAAAAGACAAAAAAGCGTCTAAAAACGCCCCCTTAAATTGATTTAATGGAGCCACCACTAAGTATTTTGCTTCATCTACATAAGGTTAAGCTTAGTGAGAATGTCGTTTTTTTTTACCTTAAGTTCTCATATCTCGAAGCGGGAAATCCCTACTTTTAGAACTACCCAAAAACCTTAATACGTCTTTCGTACTCTATACCCATCAATTATCATTTAAACTACTGTTGATACTGGATAAGAAATAATCGGGATTCCTACCAGTTTACGCCATACGTAGAGAAAGAGGGAGAAATAACAAGTTCCGCTCCCTTTGTAGTTTCTACATCAAAACGGTTCCACAACTTATTGTATTATTGCAATAATATGTATCACGTAAATAGCTAACTTTGATCAAAATTTAATATTAATGTGTAACAACGTAAACGAATTATTTTTGTTGACATTAAATTCGTCCTGGCTAATCAGATGTTTCTTTGTAGTAAAACGAATAGAATATTATGGAGCTTACAGTTAGGGGAGGTCACCTCACGAGCTTGTTGGCCTACGCGAAGTCAGCTTACTCCCCCTCCCCAACCTCAAGCCTTTATGAAATGACGTTTCTGCTTACAGTAAGTATGATAAGAGCCTATGGACTGTATGTACAGAAGATGAAATAGAAAATATATGATCAAACTGGTTTTTCAGAAAATCGCAGTAACATTTTATTACAAAAGCGAGATAAATTATACTGTATCATTATAGTATTTTGGCACTTGTGTAAAAAGTTAAAATCATAAATAATATTCAACATTAAACTGGTACACAATTAAAAACATTTTATTTAGGCCTATCTATGGCCTTCAAAAAGTTGAAGACTACGTGTTTCGACGTTACAACGTCATCCTCAGGAGTAAATTACAAGACAATTGCCAAAGTATTTATAACTTATTTATTACAAGTTATAAATACTTTGGCAATTGTCTTG